TCTATAAATCTATAACATGATGTACAATGAATATCTAATGTTTATACCAAGTTTGAACAAAATCCACCTGTAAACAGCCGAGAAATGGTTTATTTTTAGGATTTTTTAGCACAAAAATGGCCGCCATTCGGCCATCTTGAATCAGATCGTAAAACAAAATGTGCATCAAGGTCCTATAATGTCTAACGTATATACCAAGTTTGAACAAAATCCATCTGTAAACAGCCGAGAAATGCTTAATTTTTATGATTTTTAGCACAAAAATGACCGCCATTCGGCCATCTTGAATCAGATCGTGAAACAAATTGACGTGCATGTATAATATCATGTATGATGTACGTGTGAAGTTTGATTGTGATTAGTCCAGGCATTTCTAAGATACGCACGCACAGACACTCGCACTCACACACACACGCACGGACACACGGAGGTCAAAACACAAGTCCCCGTTTTCGGACTGCGCCCGAACGGGGACTAAAAAGTTTGTATGTGCTTTGAATGTGATTGCATAATGGACTCTACATAGATTACATAGGATTTAATAAAGCTTGATGATAACAAATCAGTATGCAAATTCAATCCTTTGTTTGTGTTTACCCATAGCTGGGTTCATGAAAATAAACTGAGTGTACATACCAAATGCATCACGAAAGTATACAATATGTTTAATAATCCCAATTTTTTTTTAAAAAAGTTTTTCTTTCTTGTTTTCCGTTTCTTGCTACCTTGACTGAAGAATATAGTCATGTTTTTTTACCATGTCTAAATTTCAAACATGTATCTATTCTCAATTGTTTAACCATACAACTGAACAACACATGACATGAAACAGTTTTCATCATAACAAAGTACTATAAACTACTTTTAACTGCACCAGTTAATTCTCGTGAATTTAATGAAAATTTCAATGAGGTTTTTAGTACATGTACACATATTCCCTGTCATGTATTTATGCATTTATTCTAATCACTTCACCTATTTCTCGGCCGGACATAGCAAAGTAATTGTTCTCATGTCAACCCATTTTATCTACGCAATGAAAAGGTGATGAATGAGAGATGATAAAGAGATAAATGGCTGACCTGAATGTTATAAGTGAATGGGGCAAAGGCTGCAAAATGACATGTCATACCTTAATTGTTTTGTAGTAAATTTGTTTGTCACGTTGCACTGCCATCATGTTCTGTTCTTCATAATAGCGAGCACATTTAATATATCTCAGCCAGTTACATTTCTTAATATCAGTAGCATCAATACAGAACAGCCTTCTACCTTTTGGTCCTTTGATCTAAAGCAATGAGAATTATTCATGAGGGAGTGTGCATTATTTGTGAGGCATTGATGCATGACAACTATACTAGAGGTTTATATCACAGATAAGGTGAACAGTTTTGACATTTACATGTAGACAATTCATTGAAGGTTTATTGCTGTGAATGATAAGCATGCCAAAATTACAGAATATATAAAATGCTTCTTCTTGTTCCATAGCATTTTAGTTTTACGTAGAGGTAAAAAGCACATTAAATAACGGACGTTAGCAAAAATTAGTCGATGTGATTTTGGTTGTACACAATTTTTCCTCAAAATAGGTAAATGTAAATTACACAATAGATGGCTACATTGGCCTGCTGCCAGCTAAAAGTAAACGCCTTCATCGTCTATATACACAATGCTTAATGAAGGATTAGACCCATAATCTGTTTTAAATCTAGTGATATCTAGATTGATTTACAGGCATGTGGCAAAGAAAGACGTGCTTTATAATAATGCATATAAATGGAAAAACTTTCTCAGTCGTCACAGCATCTCTTGAATGATTTTTGGCACAATGTTGTTGAAAAGTTGAAAGTTCATTGCTACCATATATGGAAGCCATGAACAACTATATGCTTAAATTCACATCTTTTATTGGATAGCTGACTGACCTTGTATCAGTACAAGCTTTCATTTGAATTTTTGATTGTTTCTAAATTATTCTAACAATGAACTTGGTTTTATGAATGTCCAACTTGGTCACAGCAATATGTTGGCACTTTGCATACTCTCTAGAAAGCACCATCGAAGCGACACTGATTGTCATGTGCATGCCTTTTTGTATCCTATTAATTCAGTCTAGAACAAATTTTGTTTACTAGCAGCGTTTTTAAAATATTTGTTTTTTTTTGGCACCAAAAAATCGCTCAGTGCAGTGAAGTGTAGCAGTGGGCGATGTTTAAGATAAATATACATTTGGTTCAGCTATGACTTACTATATAACCTTTACCACTCCAGTACATACAGTACGACTGGCTCAACCCATAACAACAATCAAACATTCAATGCATTCAAGTCAGGTATTTAGCAAATTTATGTCATGCAATTATCATATCAAATATTGCATGGTTCACTGCACAACACTAATATACTACTGCCACAGTTAAAATTAAGTAAGAGCCAGTTTAAATCATCACTATGGTGGACATGAAACATGTTCAATGAAATATACAAAGCAAAGCACAGAGAAAAAGCAAAAAATTTGTGACCAGAACACTACATGAATGTGATAAATGTGTGAGCTTATGCAATCAATGCCTGACCCTATGAGCAGTACAATTATGACATCACTACTGGTATAAACTTACTCACCTCCCATGAATAATAAGGATCACAATTGTCACTCAGTTTCTTCTTTTCACCTTCATATGGTCCAAATTCAGATTCAGCTTCAATTGTCTCTTTGGCCCAAACACCTTCAAGGAAGATCAAAATATAGCTATTAGGTGGAGCATTGTTTCCTATGTTCAGTTGAGTTTTGACGCAAAATGTTGATTCAAGGTTTATAGCAAACTTTTGATTTGTCGCTTTATAAGCCGACTGAGGAATTGAGGTTTGTAGCTAAGCCGTTAATGTTCAGTTTTTCATAAAAAGTTGAACTGAGTTTTGTTCCTTAATATGTTCAGTTGAGTTGTTGTCTCCTAATGTCGACTCGCAATTTATAGCCAACTGCCAATTTGCCACTTCACAAGCTGGCTGTGAATTTTAGGTTTGTAATCACCCCCCCCCCCCCCCGCCACCTTATGTTAAGTTTTGTTACATAACTATATGAATCAAATTAAGTTTTTGTTGATTCAAGTTTCATAGCCAACTGTTGATGCATGTTTTACATATATTTCTATCATTTTTTTTTTAATTCTGAAACAAATGGAAATGACTGTCAAATGGCTACAAAAAAACATTCAAGCACAAACATTTTTTTCTTGATATGGGGTAAATTTTTTTTTTTGGTAATTTTCACTGAATTAATAAATCTTAATTTTGGACAAAGTATGACATTACTTTTCATCTCTGACAAAAATAAAATGAAATTATCGTCAACATTTTCTGTGGAAAAGAGCAGAATTAAATTGAAACTATTTTGTGGATGGTGCCTAGATTTGACTTTAGCGCTCTTGTGAGTTTGCATCCCATTCCAAACCTTATAGGCATAAATAAAGTGCAAAGATTAGTAAAAGCATATCATTTTAATAGCGCCAATGTCATTGGACAATTCATAGTCAAATTAATACGCTAGTCATGTGGTCACACAACAAATCCATCAAAGAAAATCCAGACAAAATGTCAGTCAGTCAGGAGGGAGGGAACTATATTGTACTGGAATTGAGATTCTCTGACATTGAGCTTTCATATATACATGTACATTTTGTACCAGTATTACAGGGAGAGGGAAAAAAACATCAGAAATAGTTTCAAAGTCACCATCTAGCATTACAGATACATCCATTATCTCATTAATATTGCCATTACATTTACCAAAAAATTTGGTGAAGTCTTATTTTTTTCAGTTGGGTTTCAAGTGAAAACCAATCTGTTTTGAGATACAAACAAACCCAGGAGAGAAATCAAAAGTCTTGGCTCTCCTGATCCAAAAGATATCTGCACGACTGCTTATGTCTAAGCTGATCCAGGGGGTCAATGAACTCCCTTGACTATAACTTACTCACCAACTTTATTTTCTTCAACACTTGATGGCTTAAAAAGACAAACAGCTGGTATGGTCATATGTGGCGGTACTACCTCCATTATGAACACTACAAACAACAACAATACATGCAATGCTGTCAGTTATTAATACACACTAAAGTCATGCATTAAACAGGATGGGTGCTTATCACTGTTAAATGTTTAAGTGTTAGTCATGGGGTGAAGATTATTAGGGTCGCATATTTAGGATGTTAGCAATGCATATAAGTAAGTAAATATTGCAAGTATTGTTTAATTATATTTTATTATATTATTGACCGATTTATAATAAGGTCAAGATTTCTAATGATATAGGTTCAAGAGTTCAGATAAGGAAAATGAGGTCACATGATAATATTTTATTTGCACTTCTTGTGTAAAATTGAGTCACTGAGTTTTTAGTTTGGCAGGGGGGTTGTGCGGCCAAAAGGTTAAACCATTGTTGTATAGAATTTTGTTTATTGCCGTGGGCTAAAAATAAATTATAAGTATGGAGCAAACATCAGTGAAGTGCATTAAAGCAAATCACTTCACAGGGCGATGCGAAAATTTATAGGGTTTTCTTTATCACAGTAAATGCATCTTTGAGTGTCTTCAAGCGATAGGTAGTCTTAGAGCAGATTTTACATGAACCACTGAGACAAATTTATTGAGTGTCAGAATAGTGTGAACAACTATGATACAACGTAATAGGAGTAAGCACACCCAGTGGTCTGAGGTTATGTATTACTTGGGATTCCTTAAACTACAATGTAATTTAACAGATCAGATTGAGGACAAAAAATTTAATAAGTTGGACAGACAAGGGTACTGCCATGACAGAGGAGTTTCTCTTTGCTGTCCCCAAATACTGTAAATGCACTAATTATTCAGTGGTTCAAATTTCGCTATTTTCAGTGATAAGTAAAATCCATTAAATAAAATCAATGTAAACATGTAAAATATCCATAAAATTCATGGTTTTCCTGCCAAGTTTGTTATCTAAAAAACTTAATGAATGTGCTTTAAAGCATTAAAATAGTGAAACTAAAAGCCATTGAAAATAAATGGTTTTATGGTAACACATAAAATTCGTAAGTGCTTTGCATCTCAAAATTGTAAAATAAATAGTGAACTTACCTTGATAAGGACAGTCTTAAATAATATCAAAGTCCATTCAGTAAAATTATACATACAGCTTATATCTGAAAAAAATGCAAACAAAGCTGTAAATTAATGATATGTTTTGAGAGATGTTGTGATTACTTCTAACTAACCAAGGATGGGACTGAAGAAAATAAGTACTGTAAAATACGTTATTTTAGCTGGAATTAATTTTCACTGAAAATACTGTTTGGACGATTTATATGGAGATTATTTTCACTGATTCTTGATGAATTGAATGTAAAATATATGAAAAAATGTATATTCACTGGAATTTATTTTCACTGAATCATCCCTTCAGCGAAAATAAATTCCAAGTAAAAATAAAGTATTTTACAATAACAAGTAACAAAAAATACCCTAAACAAACAAGATGTGTATTTGGGTTAATTTGAAGATTAAATTCTAGTTTTCTGTCACTATCAAAATGGGCATTTTATTTATGTTTGAGCATATCCTCATACCCAAGGCAAGGCAAAGACAACAAATTTGCAATTTTAAATGCAATCAAATCCAAAATCACACCTTAATCATCTTCAAGTAATCTCTCATTTCAATTACAGTATGATGGAGACAACATCTTTTGTAATTTCTGGCTTGGCGATAGGATACGTGCTCTAATATCTATTTGGCAGAGTAGTGAAATACCGCGATAGATTGATAGCTCAACAAGAAACAGAAATGACGACTGCATGATTCTGTCACATTGCTTCATTCTATATTCACGAATTAGAAAAAGAAGTTTTCATTAAGAATTTCCACTGACTGAAAGTTATTATAGTAGATTTCTTTAGAATCATGTTTTGATCTAGTCAAAAGGAATAAATTAACAAAAATACTTTTTACATTAAAAAAATGGCTAATTTGCATAGCATAAAAATAGAGTAATTTGCATACAATAAAAGTTTCAACAAAATTGTGGGTAGGTAAAGTAAATAAGTATTTGTTTATGCTATCTTTAAATAGATACATCATTCATGTTGACTCAATTGCAACCCACTGCAAGTTATTGACTATAAAAAAAAATTATTTGGATTCTCTAACAATAATGAGTTTGCCAACTTCACAACTTTTCTTTATATATACAATGTGCATACAACCTTCAACCACGTACAACAGTGAGCAGATTTTTATCAACAATCATGAATTTTAAAGTAAATGCACTGAATCAACTTCATTATTTTCATTAATTCTTCTATAAGTATTTTGAGAAAGGTGACCAAAGATAACTTAGGATGGTTTAAAATGGTATATTTCTTAGTGTTGATCGAATTAGACACTATTGTATATATGTATAAGAACTAGATAGATTGCAAACGATATACGACTTTTCTCTGTCAACAGTAATACGAGTTTTTACTATTAGAATAATTTGCATCATTATACATCTGTCACCGTAACACCATAAGTTACAACGTGCCATAATTTTGTGGTATTTTACAGGGTATTTTCATCCTACCATATTAGGAAATTCCAAATATGGAATGATTACGCACGTAAGTGTCCTCTAATAATAAAAACAAACATGGCTGCCACCCAGGTTTGACCAGATTCCACACAAAAAAGTTAATTCTGCTCTAAACTTTTTGGATTTTGGCATTCCCATGATGTATTCTTGGAAGGAAAAGATGTATAATAACAATGTTATTATGACTATACCTCAAAGTACATGTATGCACTCAGACAGTACGCCATCACTTCTACCTCCGCTGCGCGTCGTTCAATACTTCCGCTGTACTGTCTTTCTGCATACTTTGAGGTATACTCATAATAATTATCATATTATTACAGGTATGTACAACAAAGGTAAAAATGTTTTGCTACTTGCATTTTTTTTTTAGTTATGAACTTTGCGAAAATTTTAGAACGTCCGGATAGTCAAGTAACAGGTGACACAGTGAACAATACTAGCATGCTAACAACATAAATAAAAGAGATAAACATGGTTTACTATTGGGTATATGGATTCATCTAAGGGCAATTGAATACAAGCAGCAGCTGTCCGAGTACATGTATGTATACATGAAGCTATATAAAAACAATAGCAACCATTTTCTGAATAAGAATAAACCAGGGGATATTGTATTTATTAAAGCAGTTGGGGGTTCTATGAAACTGTTTCAGAGTCGTGATTAAAAAACACAATGCTGATATTTAGTTTTTCGTGTACTGACTTATGTTAGCTAGTATTAGAAGCTAATCTCTAACAGAAGTGCATACAAACCAAAAATTGCATTGAATGTACATTTGATTATTAAAATATCATGACCAAAATAAACCCTTTAATTTATACATGTATGTGCATACACATTGAACAAATATGCGTTTTTTTTATTTTCGTTTGATTATAAATGTTCTAGGATTATTTGTTTGTTGTGCTATTAGTTTTCCTGTTTGTGTTTTGTTCAGAGTGAGTACAGGCAAACCATCAAAATGAGGACTGGAAAATGGTGTTCAGGTTAGAAACGGATCACAATAACGACAAGCTCTGCATTAGAGGTTTAGAAAGTTCAAACAAAAGCTTTTTTGTACTTATCTTTTGATACAATATATACTGTAAAAACCTGTTTGCAATCATTAGCCAAAATTCAGCCTTTTATTTTATTGTAAATCTAATTTAATACAAAATATTTTCTGCAACTGAATTTTTGGTAAACATTTTTTTTTCACTTTTGTTCAAAAAACATAGCCTATATATATATATGTTTTTTTTTTGTTATCACATCTTTTTTCACAACTGCATATCTTTTTTATGTACTGTACTGTACAATTTACATTAAATAGCGATAACAAATAAACAATAAATTTCTACAATACAATTCAGTGTATCCCATAATGCCATGCTTTTGACTACTTGTAGGTTTGTGTCACTATATTCTGATGTTTTACTACCAGATCTTCCTCATTTTGTTTGCCCATAGGCGATGGAATAGCCAAAAATAAATTCAAATCCACCTGTTGATGTCTGGCAAATTTGTACAATTTGGAAAAGTCCTTTTGAATCATTCTCCTAAATAGTAATAATCATAATATTATAGTATTACTGAACATTTACAAAGATACTGATTAAAGCTATAGTTTACTTACAGATGTGTGTCTTATGTAAAACTTAGCATAGAGCACCGATTATACAAGGTTAGAGCCAGCACATTTATAGTACTCTATACACCTTTTTTTTTGTTTAGTTTCAATATTGAGAGAGATCACATGCGAGAATACCAGCAACATGAAACGTATCCGGCAATTCTATTTCTGTCTTATGCTACACTGTTCCTGAGTTTGCAAATTCATTCAAATTCGCAAGTAAGCAAGTACTGGGAAATTATATTGTTCTCACAGATGGGTATATTACATAAGATTATTATTAAAAACATAAATGTATGTTGCGTCAATGCCACTGATTAAATAATAAAACAAGCTGTATAGGTTTTTGGTATTGATTTTCTAAACTGATGTTTGCATATAAAATATTTATTGAACCTTACAAAGCTATACATTAATGGAAAGCTTATTTCCCACTGAATGTGAAATCGACAAAATTTTGACAGGATGCGTTTATGGACGTGCATAGTCACGTGATCTGTGTAAACACAGAAAGGTATTTTCGGTAAAAAATAAATGAACCAATGAATAAATAAATTTAGTAGAACATAAGCAACAAAACAGTTTTTTTAGACGACGCTCACCATCATTCTGCGTAATTTGAGATATATATGTACATGATAGTTGTGGAAGAAATAATAATTTAGCTATCTTGAAAAAACAATGTGATTTTGTTTTTTCCGGTATTCAGATATTGGCAAGTCATTTCGAAACAAATAGGAAAATAACAAAATCCCAGAGCCGCCTTAGAGGGAACATATCTAAAAGTCTGTGTGCAAATAATTAGTATAATGTGTCCACACTAGATCAAAAGGCTGCAGTTACCGTAAATCTGTTTTTTTTAACCAAGAAAATGACAAAAACAACTTAGCAGCTACGCAGCGTCAGCTAACTCAAAATCTGTTTGTCCCTTGGATCAAAACGACTAGTCATAGTATCTGTCTGTAAAAATCACACAGATGTGTGGATATACGTGGTCACAATTGGTTATAAAGTACAAAATTATGCTCTCAAATCCAATAGGAAACAGTGTTTCACGGCGTGACAAAGCCGCACCAAAATGACGTCTATTTACATGTACAAATGTATGATCGTAAGACTGTTGTGGTTTGGTCTTTACCTACAGATCAGTCTATGCATGCGAATTCCCATGGTACCGGTAATGTACTGAAGTCAGTGGTGACAATTCTGAATTCAAAAATTCTGGGCTGACTTCGTATAGTTACATAGCAATTCAGCACACCATTTTGAGTGTAATTGGAATGGCTAGATTCCAGGCTAACTTGCTTGTAGAATCCAATTTAAAATCCTGCTGATCAAATATAAGAGCTATGAATTAACTATTCACATATACCAGATCTTAATCAACAAAGTAATGCTATGAGAACAAATACTCACTTGTTAAATCTCAAACCAGAATATTTTCGTCTCTTTCATGTTTTGATCAACTTCTGGATGACATATCCAATGTTATGAACATCGTTAAATTTAGAATCAAAACTTATTTTTCTCAACATGCAATTTGTGCACTGTAAAGGGTCATCAATGGAGCACTGTTGAGTATGTCATATTTGACACCTTGGGTAAGACAGCAAAAAGAGGATCAGTCTGTACCTTGTTGGGTATAGGCTAAGGTCACTTGGCCAAGATTCATTCACTATCTACAAGTTAATGGCCTACAAGTAATTTGATTGGCACCAGAATAAGAATATCAAAATAGCCATGAGGCAAACAAAATAAGTTGTCTGGTTCCACAACATGCACCTTGAAAACAAGTAGGCTAGGTCAGATTATATTTCTTTTTCCTTTCCTTTATGGTACATGATATATTTTGTGCTAGCTTGGTGATTACTTAACAATATTTGCAGTAAATTCTTCCTGATTTGGTCAATATTCTAGATAATAAATTCATTGAAATCTTTTTAATTCGACTAAAAAA